TGCCAGAGGAACAAGTGGGAAGAAGGAAAGTTAGAGAATTGTCGTGCCAACAAGTACCTTTGGTATTGCAAGCGACATGACCCCTACGTACCAGCAAACAGCAAGCCTAGTTCCGAAGTGGTGACAGACTTGTCGGTACGGATAACAATACATAAAAGTATTGCAATTACTTTTTATAGATTGACCTTTAAGTTACATACAAAGTTTAATATATTCATTTTTTAAATGTAACAGAAATGTCCAATGGATAGTATTATATTGAAATTTCTTAAAGATATTATTATCTAATTATACACATGGACCTATATTGTCAAGAAGTAAGCAAGGAACTTTTGTTATTGATATTAGCTCTATTTATAGAGATAACTAAAACTCCTAATTATTACATGTCATTCTATTAGATATTCTAGATACTAACATGTTACTTATAGAATTTTATACTGGTATTAACTATTATTTGACTAAATACTATGAAATACAACTCCTTGAAAGTTCAGATAACAATAGTTATACAGTAGGTTCTTAAATATATCTAGTTTAACTATTAATAAGTAAACAATATAAAATATGAAATAATAATTATGCTTATATTTTAGAAAGAATAAACCATTTATTCTTTTTTTAAAAAATTATAAAAGCAAAAAATTTTCTAAAACTTATAACTAGAAAAAAGTTATCACTTCTTAATATGGTTCTTGAGAAAAAGCAATTAACTGGCCAGAGAAGTGATGAAATGGAAGATAGCAGTTTAAAAAAGAAAAAAATCAGAGGAAAAAACTTTAAGAAAAAGAAAAAATCTAACTTTGATAGATAAGGAAAAAAAGAAAAAAGAAAGAAAAATATAATAAAAAGATTTGTAAAAAAGAGAGAGAAAATAAAGGAAGAGAAAAAAAAGAAAATAATAGAAAAGAAAATAATATTAGAGGAAGGAAAAAAGCAAAGAAAAAAGTAAACAACTTAAAAATTTCCTAAAAGAAAATTTCCAAGTGTAGAAGAGAAAAGTAGAAAAGAATTTTTGTTTCTAAATACAATTTATAGGAGTAATAGTGTTGTTTTATTTAATAAAAGAATTAAGATTCAAAATCTTTAATAAAATAAAAACCTGCAGATTATTTCTAAAGTCACAACCATAAATTCAAATTGTGTCACTTCTCTCATGTAGAAAATACATTAAAAAAAAGGAATAAAAAAAAAGAATAGATAAGGAAAAACAGTACAAGTACTGTATGTACAAAAGAAAAGATTGAAAAAAAAAGCTGTCATCTATGTATTGTCCCGAATGTAATGAAGAATTTTCATCACCTGATGGTGAATGTCATGTAATGGAATTCACTTTCAACAAGATTTTGACAAATGGACTAGTGGAAACAAAGGAATTGACGAATTTATACAAAAGTCTCAGCTTCAAGCCAATTCTAGTGATGATTTTTTCGTATACCCAATTTTAAGATCGCTAAAGGAAGATATGGAACTGGGTATTCTGCGACATGGTAAGAAGGTCGTATTCAAAAATGGAGTGTTCTAAATAAGAAATGGGTTAGGGATTACCCTGATAAGAAAGTAGCATTAAAAAACTTAGATAAGCTTAGCTCAGTTAACTATCTTATAAATGAGGTAAAGAATATTTAACTATGGTTTTATTATTATTATAATTTATTTAAATTTTAGATTGAGAAACATTCTATTTTGTTGTCGGGTTCTGGCGTCGTCACTTGTTATGGAATTACGCAACAGCCAGATTATTTGGACCAAAATTTTACAAGATGGATTTGAAATTTAAACTAGAGACATTAAAGATATTTTATATGGTCTGAAAATATGCATGAAAAGAAATTAGTTCATAGAGACCTTCATCCTGGAAATTTTTTATATAACTGGATATTATGGTTGCGCATTTCAGATCTAGGTCTGCAAATTCATTGATAAACCTCAAGAAAGCGAAACTCGCCAAGAAATTTGTGGAGTTGATGTTTTAACTGGAAATTTCAATTATTTTATTATTATATTTTTTTCTATGTTCCTAAAATCCCTTATACTGTATTTCGAATATCCCAAAAATCTCAAAAGATCCTGATTATTCCAAAACTCTCTCATAGATCCAATTATGGCATAATTGGATTGCGGCGTTGCCTGTGCCACTCAACCTTTTACAATATTAACAATATTTTTTCATATAACATTTTATATCGCACATAGTATGAAAAAATCATTCAATTAAATTTAAATTTTAATGAATAGATAATAAAATACATAGTTTTCCTTAAAATTATTTTTATGAAATATTGACATAAAAATTACTAGTTATTAATTATTTCAATTTTTATTTTAAAGTCAAATTTTTTGCATACAATAACGCAAGTAAACAAGATATCTGAAATAAATCTCATTACGAGGTCGATACAACTAAGCAAGGCAACGTGTCTCGCCTTCTTCACTTATCCTCAAATAGTATTTTTCATCTATATTATCCATACTGACGGTCGGTTCCCATTTTTTGTCATTGGCTTCGTGGAATTGAGATGCAACCTCCGAAAAATTCGGTTTGTCACCAAGGTCAGAAACCCATTTTCCCAATAATAAGTTTAATTCATTGGCGCTGGGCCTTTGTTCTGGAATTGAACTCAAACACCTTATCATTAAGTCGTAATATGATTGTGGCATCGATTCCTTGAAAATCTCTGGGTGCAAATTTTTATTACAGATATCTTCGGAAAGTTTCTCATCCTCTTCTCTATCAGAAAATGGAATTTTTCCAGTGGAAATCATAGCCATGATAATCCCGAAACTGTAAATATCTGCAGCTTGATAAAATTTACAAATTTTAGTCTCTTCTGGTTTTTCGTTTCTTAAAATTTCGGGGGCAGTAAATGAAATTTTTCCGTAGTAATCAGTGGGAGAACGTTGTTCATCAACTGGACCATGAAGACCAACATCGGATATACGTGCGTCTATAGAACTTGCTCCGTCCGCAATAAGGATATTACCGAAATGTAAATTTGAATGAAATCTTCCTCCGGCGTGAATTTGGTCAAGACCTTCAGCGATACTGTACAGCATATCAACAATATCCCACCAAGACATCAACTCGTGGTTTTTTTCAAGGTATTCACTTAGATTATCAGTGTAAAGTTTCATTACAAAGATGTAATTTCCAGAAGGATCTTCGGTTATTCCAAAGAAATCTGCAAGAGAGCCGTTTGTTAATAATTTAACATGGTTGAAAACCTACAGAATTATATATTAAAAATGATTTAATGAATGTGAATATATTATTAAAATGATAATATTAATTTAGTTACTTGGTTTAAGAAATCCACCGACATGTTACTTGAATTTTTGAAAATTTTTAATGCAACCTTAATGTTTTTTTCGCATTCCCATATATTTTTTTGTGAATTCCAAACCCAGCGTGGGCCATCCAACCAACAGGCTTCGTAAATACTTCCATATCTTCCATCAGAATAAAACTTTATGTTTTTTAATCTATCGTATCTTATAAATGATAGATGGTCATACCAATGAGTCATATTTTTTTGAGTCCACTGTATTAGTTTGTTAACGTGAGGGCTACTTGTCCATTCGCAAAATCCTCTCTCTAACTCTTTGATCGCACATTGTTGACACCAGCTATAATAAGTCTTTCCCTCCCCATCATCGTGCTGACAGCCAGTAGCAACCTCTTTATCCATTGAATATTAATTTTTGTTTGTTCCGGGGCAAAAATTATTTTTATAATTAAAATAATTAATTAAAATTATATTGGTAGAAAAGGAACCATTCATGATGTAAAGTTCGATAATTCAGAAGAAATGTATTATAATGACTTACAAAATCTCTGCATTGTACGTAATTAACAATATAAGGCATTTTTTTTTTTTTACTGCGTAGATCAACGTTTTAAAGATCTTTCATAAATCTAACTACTGCGCCTTCTCAGTTTTTTTCTTTTAATAATTTCTAAAATTATATTTATTATGGATGAAAGCCTTTGATCCCAATAACAAGTTTAGCATGTACACAAAGACGTTTGTAAGAATTTCTTCAAAGATATTTTTTAGAGAAATTATTATGGTTGATTTATATAATACAGTTTATAAAAAATATAAATAAATAGTTGTTTTTTATTATATACTGTATTATAAAGTTATTAATACAAGTATTAATTGTGAAGGTATGCAGTTTGGGACAAAAAAAAAACCGCCTAAAATTAAATCTTTATTTTATTAATAATTAATTAATTTTTTTTAAATATTAAATAAGACCTTTCTCATGTCTTTATTGATTATAATTAATTAACATATAATATAATTATTTATTTATTTAAAGATATATAAAATAGAAATATATTAAAAAACAATATTATTAAATTTTAATTAAAAAGAGATATCAAATTAAATTTTTAAATTTTTTTATTATTTATAAAAAAATAAGAATAATTAATTACGTATTTAAATTATTTCAATATAGAAATTAATTAATTCTAGATTAATAAAATTTTAAAATATTTTTTTTATAGCTTAATATTAAGCTATTTATTTTTTGATAAAACTTGATAAAAAAATATTATTACTTTATTAATAATTTATTAATAATTTTATAGAAAAAAATTTTTTTCAAGTAAATAAATATTATCTTTATATTATATTATAAAAATTTTAAAATATTTTATATGCAAAAAGTAACAATATCTTTTATATAATCAATTAATCAATGAATTTAATATTAGCTTGCCGCCTATAGAAATTATTTAAATAACAAAAAAAATAAATATTAAACTAATATACATCAAAAATAATATCAAACAACTATAAATATTTACTCAAAATTATTGTATATAAGATAAATTTAAAAAAATATAAAAAGAAAAAAAATGTTAAACAAAAAGAAAATAATAAAAAAATTAATTATAATATGAATAATGTCTTATATTATTTTGATAGTTTTATTTCTTGAAATATAATAATATTTTTTGAAATGATTAAACTATAGCTGTAACAAATCTATAGATGTCCAGCAAAAATCCCGATTTTCTTCGAAAAGTCAAATGACAACCTCTTAAACAATCTTAAAAGACTATGGGTATTTTGATGAGAAGAACATCTTTTATTAATGGCCGAAAAGACATTGTCAACACCGATTTCTTAATAATCAAGGATTTAGACTTCTAGCCGAAGAACACTAATGATTAGACTTAAACACATGTCCGAAGTCACATGATATCCGCCGATCCCGAAGCTCCGGAG